TTGAGAAAACCATTCACAAATATAAAAACTACTACCGCTGCGGCTATAACTGCAGCATCAGCAGTATCCAACATATTGACGAATGTAGACAAACGTTTGAATCACACTTCAAAATGAATTTTGCTTCAAGCATTCGACACACCGTGTAGCAGATATATTTGCCACACAAACTGTCGAACTTTTTGACTCAAATGCTCGGTCCAACGTTCGAGCCAATGTTCGACGCATCGTGTAGCGCCGGCTTAACCAGAAAGCTGTATTTTGAAAATAATATAAGTTTGTAATTTGTAACTCTCCTACACTGCACTAGATAGCGCGCACTATTCAATGAATTAATTCATTTGAATGTTTATATTCGATAGTTGCAATCATTCATTTAGTACTTATTCATTTCAGTTCATTCATTTAGTGCCCATCACAAATTTTAATATTGATCTATTTAGTACAGCGATTTCTTTGCTCTTGAGTCTGAAACCCATGAAATGCTAGTCAATTTTAAAACTTGTAACATTGCATTATCAGAAAATAATTTTTTCAACAATAGTAGAATAGGATGACCTACACCTAAAATATGACCGGATTTACCTACATTTTTATTTTCTCGAGGAGAAATTGAATAAGAAAAGCATGCCAATTTACCTGAGGAATTGATTGAAGACTTTTAATACTCCTTTAGGTTTTAAAATTATATCATATTATTTATTAAGTTTGAAAACCGATAATGTAGGTACAGAAAATTTAGTGCGTTTCTAAAAGTTGCACAATTGCGTCCTATTTGAGAGAATTGAGAATAACTTTCTGACTCCAAAGAGTCTAAGCGTTTATTTTTTACTTTTCTGAAGAATACTGCAACCTTTCTTGTTTAATTTTCAGTAGCCCACCCTGTATACCATTTTCGGAAATTTCTAATTTTGTTCAGTATATATTATTTTTCACGGATCCTCATTGATCTTAGATAGGGCAAACCCTAACAAAATTGCTAGTCGACTTAATACTGAACAGTTTTCTTTAATTTTTGAATGGAAATTTGGAAATAAACATTTGTTTTTTAGTAAAAGAGACATTATCAAACTTAACCCTTTGGTAAAAAAAATACGAAATAAGATAGTGACCCGATTTAAAAATATCATAGAAGAACATCAAATACCAAGCGAATAGAAGAACAGCATAACAATAACCATTTTTAAAAAGGGACGGAATGCACTCCCAGAAAACTGTCGTGGAATAACCCTACTTGATAACTCTCTTAACGCATTCACAAGGGCTATTCTGGGGGAAAATCACCAAAATCACAAGAATAAGAGAAGAACAGGACTTCCGAAAAAACAGATCCACAATAGATGTAATATTCAAGGTCAAGCAAATATCAAAAGAATCCCTGAAATTCAATAAATCGGCGTATCATAGATATGACTAAAACTTTTGACAGAGTGCGCTTTAAAGATTCCCTGGAATTAAAGAGAACAAAAGGGCTAAGCCACAAACTGCTTAATGTAATACACAACGTAAACACCCATTGCAGAACAAAAATTAGAGTAGGACACATTGCAACGGAAGCCGTATACACAAACACAGGAATTAGATAGGGAGACTCACTCAGCCCTTTCATGTTTAATGTGCTAATGGATGAAATAACAGACAATCTTCTTGGAACGGCTGGATATAAAATGGGATGTACTTTCTTCCATGCCGTGTACCACGCTGACGAAGTCAATTTCCAAAGGTAACTCCGTTCTTTTAACAACAATGCAGCATCATCAACACAGAGAAGACTAAATGTAAAAAGAAAAGGGACCGATGAACTGCAAGCTGGAATCGACTCCAAGATCGTCGAACAAGTAAAACATTTCAAATATTTGGGAACAGAGATAACGAGCCATGGAAGTCTACCTCTCGAAGTAAGAGGACAAACAATAAAAGCGGCTCGAGTTTCGGAATGATTGAGAGAAATTGTTTAGAAAAACCAATACCTAAATACGGAAAGCAAAGTCAAGAAATCAGAATGCAATGCGGGATCTGGACATAGGAAGATGGGTGAGACGGATTAGAAGATTCTGGAACAAAGAACGGAGAACAATAGACTCGCAAAAACGCAAAAATGAACAATTCAGTGGGAATGAGGCCACAGGGAAAACCATCAAAGTGCTGGAGGGAATACTGGAACTCATCCTCCTGGGAGGACGTGTTGTGTTTAGAAATATTAAAAAGATACAAGAAGAAAACTTAGCTAGACTACCTGAATACCTACAAACTAATTAAAAATCGTAAGTGTCCCACATGAGAATGGCAATTTGTGGGCGGAGATCTATTTTCTGTACTTCAAAAATAKAATGAAATTTTTTGAAAATACCATTGTATAGATTATAATTCAGCAATAAAGATAATACAAGATATCATGCTCTGTTGCCCCAATTGGAAGCGTACAGTGTAGAACAAGTCTGTCGAAATGGAAATGTCGCCTARCCTAAATATGAATMAAMATTTTCAAACRTAGATTTCCTTCCCGGTCTACGTCGATTGGTTTTTTGACAAAAGCARAAAAATTAAATAAACATTCAGAAACTTATTGACAAAGGATACGTAAGTCGGAAACTTACAAAAACTATAAATAAATAAGTGACAGTGKAATCCGCCCAAAMGGGACAATTTTGAGCTAAAAAACACGCTAAATAAATTGAATTACTTGCTACTACTTGAACTGCTTACTAGTAATCTTTCCCGTTGTTTCCACCTCACATTATTAGCGATATACCCGAAAAAACTAAGTTTTAGCGTAGAAACTCGCAGTCGACTGTACCACAGTCGCATCCACGACTTACGACATTGGTATTGGAATGTTAATATTTTTTATCGTTTAAATGTGCAGCTTGTGATCTGATCAAATGCACCGACTGTGATTATGCGCCTAAAAATACGCGGAATCTGGGATCGCTCGCCAGCTTTATTTTCCGCTTGGGCGAGAGCCGGCAGCAAATTTTACTGGTTGGCCAGGAGATATTTATACTTTTAGTTGCAAGAGTTGGATATAATACATCTGTTTTACCAAATATTTCGTTTTCTTCTTTGGCCGAATATAATGTAAAATATTTATTAGCTATTTTTATTTAACATACAGGGTCGTTGTCGATGACCAGTACAGGATCCTTCGAAACTATGGCAGTTACGAAAAAGATTAAATGCACAAAGAATTGTAGTTTTGAATGCTCTACTGTAAGAAAAAGCACACATACACCACTTTGAATTACTTTAATTCCAAACACATATGAGCGATCTCATAACATCTGTCGGCCAGCTCGTCATCTACCAGACTAACCCCGCCTAAAAAGGTTCCTACTAGGTATTTCAACACTTATCCGTATAACCTGACACATAAACAAGCAGTGCCCTTATTTATGGGTTTCGCTCGAGTTTATGGTCGCCCCAGTGTTTTGCTTATAGAGCACGAATCAATTATCGACAACACTCGGCCATCCTGACCAATGGTCTGTCCCCAGACCCTAAACACATTCTACATACAAATTACACATTTTCACACAATTATTACAATCTTCCCCATACGTGGGCATAACTGACTATAGACTCTTGTCGTAAAGAATACAACGCTCATAACTAATACAACTTTTGCGAGGAGAGCAACATTTTTTTTCGCCATACACAAATGAGCAACACTTTACACACACAACACTTTATTTACATGAAATGGTCCCTTGTATTTTGCCAAAAGCTTGTGACTGACACCAGCGGGTGTGCATGTAATTTTGACCATAACTAATTCACCTTTTTTCAAGTGATAACTTTTTATGGGAGGGTGGACAGATTTTTTCTTGGTCACGGCGAGCCGAGTCCAGGCTCTTCGCGCCTGAGACTTGGGACGCACATATGCACTTTAAAATCAACATTTTTCTCTTAGTGCGGGTGCATCTGTAGATCTGACAAACTTTTCAAATACACATTGCGTTAATAAACTGACAGTGATTTTGAACTATTAATTATTGAGTGGAATATGATTGTGTTCGGTGCAGTTTATTTTATAACGCTGATAACAATGAAACGACAAATTAACCAGGGAGAAGCTCGGATACTGCAAATACTATTTCTAACCACTACTTTTAATAGTCTAGACTGTTTGTCTTGAAAAGAATGCCATACCAGATCCATGTTTTTGACTACAGTTGTTAAATCCCTATAGTCCCATTCGTCCTTGACATTTATTTTTATATTTCCGCCAGCAAGCATGCTTGTCTGGAACTTTATTTCATTTTTGACCAAATCTTCAGTTAGGGCATTGAAATTATCAATTTTGCTGATAATTACTGGTGATGGTTTATTTTCTGTATTGATTTGCTCCTGTTGTCGGGTGCTTTATGATGTTACGTTGCACCGGTTCTTTTGGAGAACTGCTTGCTTTTCTCTTCTTTGCATTCTTTACCCTAATCCATTCCGTTTCCCTACTTAGTTCTTCTTCGCCTGTGTAGTATTCATCTGCAATTTTTTCAAAGTTTGCGTGTGATAATTTACCCTCTAATACTGTATATTTAAGCATTAGTTGATCGTATAACTTCTGCAGAACATTTAATTGAGATTGAAGTTGTTCAACTTTATCATTGTCTGCATTTTTTTCCTTGTTAGACACTAATTTTACCATTATAATGGGTTTATTTATTGGTTTATTTTTAGTGTGAAAACTTGCATTGCTATACATTATGATTTGTTTTGATTTTGTTTTTGGTTTTGTCTCGAAAATAAAGTGTGCGAACAATTTATACTTTTTCAATTTCGTTCGCTAAGACATAGCATTGTTTCCATAGCAACAAATTATAACATCTTTCGATTTTTGACATTCGAATTTAAATGAAACTTAGAAATCTAACTTAATTTTACTGTGAAAATGAATTATTCGAATAAAGAAAAGCGCGACATGATTGAAACCTACATTAGAAGTGATAAAAATGCTAGACGAGTCTCTGATTACTATTTTGAGAGGCATTTTGACCGTCGTCAAAGGTCCTTGAAAACACTCAAACGATTATACGAAAATTTGGGCACTTATGGAAGTTTTACGCAGCCAAGAAATGAAGATAAAGCCATAAATGAAGCTGTGGAAGTTAATGTCTTGGCAATTGTAAGGCAGAATCCACAGATTTCAGCCAGAGATATCGCAGCAGAATCCGGGACTTTCCAAAGCACCGTGATGAGAGTTAAAAAAACACAAATTACATCCGTATAAATTATAAGCATTGCACTTTACATCCAGGGAATGAGGAGCTGCATGTGCAGTTTTGTACATGGTTCCGAAACAATTGCCAACAAGACATTCAATTCTCTTATAAAATATTGTGGACCGACGAAACTCGATTTACAAATTGTGGTATGTTTAATCGTCACAATGACCATCTTTGGAATCAAACAAATCACCACCACGTTGAGCAAAGAAGACCACAAGTTAAATTTGGGTTCAACGATTGGAGCAGAATGGTAGGTTCAAAAATTCTTGGACAATTTATTTTTGAAGGCACCTTAAATGGTAGTCAGTATCTTCAATTCATTCGGAATAACCTGGATTTTATGTTGAACGACTTACATTTAGAAGCATGACGTAATATGCAATGCTTTCAATTTGATGGGTCTCCTCCGCATTATTTTTCCCAAGTTTGGAACCACCTGGACGTAACATTTCCTGGGGCTTGGATTGGACGAAACGGCCCTATTTTGTGGCCATCTCGATCACCGGACCTTTTACCTTTGGATTTATTTTTGTGGGGAGCCGTAAAAAACACAGTTTACAAAAACAAATATTCCCTTTTAAATGCACTTAAAGAAGTTGTTGTTAGAGAATTTGAAAATATTGATCCACAAGAAAAGCAACTTATTCAGTTTGAAGGCGTCGTAATGTTTGCATTAATAATAATGGTGGACTTTTTGATAATGTTTTAAAATAAAGTTAAAGTTTATAGAGTTTAATTTTAATTACTATTGGTATGATTTAATTTTTGTAATAAACACTTTAAATAAACAGCCGACTTAATTAAAATAAACTTATTGTCAACTTCATAGTATTTTTTTCAGACTGCTGTTTGGGTATTTCGCCTAAAAAAATTTGGTCTCAGAATTTCCTCAGGTCTTTTATTACAGATTTATAAATAGTGCAATTATTTCGCAATCAGGACGAATTATTTATCAAAAAGTAATCAAGAACTATCACCTAGAGGGTATCCTGCAACACACTTAGGCTCAAGCTGTAAGAGAACATTTCAATAAGTAAAAAAAAATATTTGAAAAAATTGCCTTGACGTTTCGATACCTATTTTCTCCTATCGTTATCAAAGGACCTACATTAACCTAAAAAAGAGTATGTTAATAACTTGTGCAACAATAGTAGGATAATAAAGTATATAAAAATTAGCTCTGATAATTCGTCTGTGCAAATTGTTAGTTATGTTGAAAATTCTGTCGTTTTTAAAGGCAAAAATTTTTGAGCCGAAATACCCAACAAGTATGATATATGACGGGTAATGAAACAATTACTATTTTCTATGATAATATAATTCATTACTTTTATAAAATCACAAACGTTAACATACTCTACATAATAAGTTCACACAGCAAGAAAGTGTTTTAATTACATTTGCATGTACATTGCAACAATAGTCTAACAGCATTTGTCAATAAATATATTAAGACTTAACAAAATTTCGTTATCAAAAATTAGGAGCCGAAATTGTCGATCGTTGAATTGAGTTGTTCGACTTACTTAAAGCTTTATGGACAATCCAAACTAATGATATGAAAAATTCCGGGAAAGGAAAGGAAAGAATATACTATTTCGTCTAAATTACATGTACGTTAAATCATGAGTTGAAGGTAACATTCGAGAAACAATTTCTAAATCAAATTTAATCAAGTCTATAAAAACGCATAATTTTTAACTTGTGATTAAATCTTTATCAAAAGGAATTAAAAAGTAATTCTGGGTCTCAGTGAAAGTTGCATACACTCACAGGCCCCGAAAATAAAGTGGGTATAATGTAGATTAAATCTAATACGAAATAGGGCCGAAGATAAATACCAATAAAAATAAACTGTAGCGCCATTTGACACCATTAAACTTAAAACTATCACTAATCTGAAATGTCTATGTTTGACGATCAGTCCAAAGTCGATAAATTGTAACGTACATCAGTACGATAAGTAAATATATAGTATTAAGTAAATTAAATTACAAGTGCATTAATAGTCTGCCTCTAATTCTCATTGAGTAAAATTATCATTATTAAAAATTTTGATTATAGGAGATTTTAGAACTTGCTTATATATTGTGTGATCGTTTAAAATAGAATCTTTAGGGAATAATAAATATTTAGAATATAAAGTTCATTAACAAACTACGCGTACGCATTTCGATTATGTGCATACTATGAGATAGATCAAACATACACTCTTCATACATTTTCAAACGTAAGACCTCAATTCAGCAAATATTAAACACTGTATTGAAAATACTATAGTTCGTGTTAAATTAAACATATTAAATAAGGAACTTAGTTATAGTATGTTCATACAACATGGTGATTAAAGATAACAAATAAACTAGAGTTTTGCAGCATCTTTGAAGAGAAATCATGGAAGAATGGTAATTAGGAAGATAACATTAAAGAACGTCAGCGCCATTAAAACCGTAACTTTAAAGTAATAAGGTGTAAAAATAGCAATAGCCTAAATAGGTTCGGAAGCGGTAGAAGACTGGATAATTGAAGACGGCCTGTCTGTAGAATAGTGTGATAAAACCGAGCCTCTGTCTAGTCTTTGGCGGCGAATATACGGACTGAATTCGTGTTAAAATAATATTATATTCAGGTTTTTTGAAACCTCTTAGTTTATTTTTAAATCGGTGATTTCACTTACCGCCTAGGAATTGAGGTAGAACATGTTTAATCTAAGTTATTATCAGATCCAGCATATAAACTTTTGGCAATTGTACTGAGTCTTGCAATTCTGCTACTGTTCGTTTGATAGGAGCCGGGAATATTTCGGTACGAATGACCTAAAAAATACATAATGCCATAATCTAAACAGTCGAACTTGTTAGTCTAAAAGTTGGTTTACATGCTCAAGCCATCTGCACAAACTGGATTGCACAAGCCAGATTTGAGCAAAACTGTATTTGTTGACAACAGGATGGAAAATTTGGGCGAAGAACTAACTAAATTATTTTGAAATTTTGTGTTGTCGAAGAATGAGTATGGTACGCTTTGCGTTTCTCACAAATTGAATATAACTGACGCTTAAGTGTGTACATCTAAAAACAGACTAAAATTTTCCCAAAAATTAGGTAATATTTTTGCATGGGATGGGGACTGGCGCCGGAAACAACACATTTTTTTTGATTTGTTAGCATTCACTTGTCCGCTGGTGGTACAAGAGGTGTCACCAATGCACGCCGTACCTCTGTATGAATCCCTTTTCCAAATCCAAATTTATGGCTTTGTTTTTCTATTTACCCCAAGATTTTATGTTACAGGGTGCATAGGTCATTTGAAAAACTGCGAAGATATGTAGGCAATTTCAAGCTCATATTTACAGTGGCGTTCTGAACAAAATTATCTGTTAATCCAATTATTTAAATCAATAAGAAATTTGATAATATGTGGAATAAACGGTAATATTAGGAAATAAGTACCTTAAAGTCAGATAAGAACAATATTAAAAAGAGAACCCCATACGCGCTAGAAATATTTCATTCAACACCCATAATATCATAAGATTGAACATCGGTTAAGACGCTCAAGCCAATGCTCCGATATCAAGTGGATTTTCTGTCAGGATAGATTTTACTCAAGCCAAATTTTTCGGCATACACAGACTTCAAACCTGCGTTTACACGCAACGATTTTATTGTGCGATCGGGATTGTGCAAACCGATTTGCGTAAACATCTTGAGCGTGTAAACGGTCCTTAACAGTAGATGTGCAATGAGATTTATTAAAAAAGGTATCATAAGTCAAAGAATCGTTGATAATTTATCATCAGTTTTTGTCAACATGGTTTATTGAGTGTTATTCCATAGCTTATATACAGGGTGTCTCGTAAACCTTCTACAATACTTCGCATGATGAAAGATCAATCTCGGGCAAGTCAGAAAATGGACAAAATATTTTATTTGTATTTGAGTTTCGGGAATCGTCGTAATTCAAAAGCAGCAGTAGGATGGAATGAAATATAAGATATAAGGAATATGAATTAAATTGAAGGTTTTGCCAAAAAAAATCTTGTGAAGAACTTTGGGGTAAACTAAAATACAATAGCAGTTTTCGATATAAGGGCGAAAAGTGTGGTTTTTCGAACCACGACAGCGTTTGACACCCGAGACGAAGTCTGGGGCATCAATCGGTCAGTAGTTCGAAAAACATATTTTCGCCCTCGTATCGAACAACATTTTTCATTCGAATAGAAGACATAAAACGAATCATGAGTTATAATAAATAAGAATAGCCAAAAATTAAAGGCATCAACTTCATATTTTAAATCTGATGTTAATGTCGTTCGTGAAATTGTCTCGTTTTGAGGTTTGTAATTTTTCAAAAGCGTACTTTTGTAACCATATACACCCGAAGTGCTGCTTTCACGGATGGTGTTCGAATAAGTTGCATTTTTGCATGACATTTGCGCCATATTTAAAAATATCGTGCTTTTTGTGTGGCAACATCGGCGAGTGTAGAAAAGTAGATCGACTTTGGGACTGAACTTGTAACAAAGTTATAATTTACAAATTCCAAGTAAACTTTAAATTCGAATCAATAGTTGTAGATAAACTTACGGAATTAATTAAAAAAGCATGTCAGTTACTTTTTAAGGAAAATACTTAATGGTCGTTTTCGGGCGAAAGTGTTGTTTTTCGACGCAGCGACAGCGACGGCGTTACACAACTCGACTTCGTCTCGGGTGTCAATTCGTCAGGAGTTCGTAAAACGGATTTTCGCCTTCGTATTGAACAACATTTTATTCGAATGAAAAACATAACACGAATCATGAGTTATAATAAATATGAATAGCCAAAAATAAAAAGCATTAACTTCATATTTGAAATCTGATATCAATGTCATTTTTGAAATTGTCACGCTTGGACGTTTGTCATTTTTCAAAAGCGTACTTTTGTACGCATTTACAAGTGGAACAATGAGTGTTAAAAATGCAAGTGCTGTTTTCACTGTATGTTGTTAAATAAATAAATAAATTGCACATTTTGCATGAAATTTGTGCTATTTAAAAAAATCGCGTTTTGCTTGTGGCAACATCGGCGAGCGCAGAAAAATAGAACCATTTGAACGACTTTGAGACTGAACTTGTAACAAAGTTATAATTTACAAATTGTAAGTAAACTTTAAATTATAATTAATAGTTTTTGATAAACCAATGTTATTAATTTAAAAAGAATATCGATTACTTTTTAATGAAAATACCTTAAAAAATATAATGACACTGACAGGTTTAATTTGTCACATTTACTTTTACGCACATGTGCGTAAAAGTGCGGTAAAGTAAAACAAATGAACAGTAAAGAAAAGTGCTTTTTTTATTATCGCTTCTGATCGAAAAATGGCACTTTTTGATTCATTCGAATAAAAAGGGTATTTGCTACTTATTATTTCATAAGCGTAATAGCACGGACTATTAATTAACTGATGTCAGTTATGATCGATTTAAAAAGTGTAAATTTCTTTCAAAAGGCTTTAAAAAAAGATGAACCTTTTACCAGTCAAGTAACGAAGTAACGTTTACAGGACACCCTGTACACGCATAATATTTTATAATTTTATTAATATAAAAGTTACGAAATACTTCCATTTTGGTATTCCGCTTTATCGTAAATGTTTCGTGGGATTTCCAATTGGTAATAGTTTCAACATTAAGTT